AAAAAAAAAAACATTCTGCAAAAAATTTAACTGTAAGAAAAAACATAGATGTTGGTGATGACAGCTTCAAGATGCCTCCTGTATCGTGAGAAACTAATCGCATGCATTGCTCAGGTGTGATTTTGGTCCATCCTTCCACACAAATGGTCTTCAAATCCTAAACGCTCTTACTATGAGCACAAGCTTTAGGTCTTTCCATAGATTTTCAGTTGGATTCAGGCCAGATAATTGGCCGGGCCATTCTAGCAGCTTTGTTTTCTTTCTCTGAAACCAATTTTGAGTTTCTTTGGCCGTGTGTTTGGGATCATTGTCTTACTGAAGCGTCTACCATTGTCATCCTGGTACATGGCAGTAAATGTTTTTAAATTAAGAATATCCCTATACATTTTTCCATTCATCCTTTCTTCAATTATTTGAAGAGTGCCAGTACTGTTTGCTAAAAAACAACCCCATAACATGATATTAACACCTCCAAACTTTAATGTTGATATGGTGCTTTTGATTGATGTGCAGTGCCTTTTGACCTTGTGTGTATTATGGCCTAGTGTGTATTAAGGCATTCAAAGAGTGCCATTTTGGTTTCATTGGACCAGACTGTGAAATCCTCCCAGTATTTCACAGGCTTGCCTAAATTTTGTTCAGCAAACTTTAAATGCCCTTCATTTAAAGTTTAGGCCTATAAAGTGTATGGCCTTGTTTAGAAATTCTGCTGTAATCAATTCCATCAGTATGTTTTCCAACAATAACGTGGCAAAGGTCTTAAGAGAGCTCATTGGTTTTACTCAACATTAGATGCTCTTTGTGTGAAACCTTGGTAATGAGGCACTACTTTTATAGGCCATCAATGAGGACTGAAGCTACTGATATTAATTTGCACTAAGTGGCAGGATTGTTTTCCAGTTATTGATAGATTTCAGCTACTGTCATGACCTTCCATGCATTTTAGCACCTCCCTTTTTTCATCTATTCAATACTCCTTCCCTGTGTAGTTTCTCATTATTACACAAACTAAATTTGTGAACATCTATGGTTTGACTTTGCATGTGTGGATTGGATGGGTTGTATACATAGTGACGAGAAGTAGTAATCTCATAATAATAAGGTAGTATTGATTAATGCAACATGTGAATATTCTTTTTTGAAGGTAAAACTGAAGGTAACACACTATATTTAATGGAGTGGCTTATTATCATTAAACAAGGGTGACAGTTTCTGTATAATAACTTGGAATCAAAGTTGCAAAATGCAAACCTACTATTAAGAGCCTACTAGATTCTTTGTGAGAAGAGTGTCTAGCCCTTCACAGAGACGGGCCCAAATGCCAGACACAGACACACACTGAAGGCCATCACATGGTAACTCATTGACTTCACTGCTGACAGAAGTGCAAGCCAATGAGAATGAAAGAGTTGATTCATTTGAAAGTTATCATTTCATTGGTTAATCATAATTTCCTCTCTTTCTCTGCCTTTGCTATTGGCTGAGATTTTTTATGTTACCTCACATCACATGCTTATCTCTCTTCCAGTTTAATGGTTATTCACTATATTGCTCAAAGTATTCACTCACCCATCCAAATCATAGATCCAGGTGTTTGAGTTACATTCATGGCCACAGGTGTATACAACCAAGCACCTAGGTATGCAGATTAATTGACAAATTTTTGTGAAATAATGGATCAATAGCATGCAGAGTTTGCAAACTTTCTGCAGAGCCAATTTCTACAGTCCTCCAAACTTCTTGTGGCCTTCGGATTAGCTCAAGAACAGTGTGTCAAGATCTCCATGGGCTGCATCCAACATTACATCAGATACAGAATCGTTAACGATGCAACCACTAGACCAGGGGTGGGCAATCTCCGTCCACAAGGGCCGGTGTCCCATGTGTCCTCGAACCAACACAGCTGATTTAAATGGCTAAATTAGCTCCTCAACATGTCCTGAAGTTCTCCAGAGGCCTGGTAACGAACTAATCATGTGATTCAGGTGTGTTGACCCAAGGTGAGATCTAAAACCTGCAGGGACACCGGCCCTCGAGGACTGAGATTGCCCACCCCTGCACTAGACAGTGGAGAGGTGTTCTTTAGAGTAATGAATCACACTTCTCTGTCTGGCAATCAAATGAATGAGTTTGGATTGCCCGGAGAACCGTAATTGTCTGACTGCACTGTGGCAAGTGTAAAGTTTGGGGAGGGATTGTGGTGTGGTGTGGATGTTTTTAAGGGGTTGGGCTCAGTCACTTCGTTTCAGTGAAAAGACCACCTAATGGTTCATACAAAGCATACAAAGACATTTTTAACAATTTCATTCTCCCAACTTTGTGGGAACAGTTTGTCAGTGTGCAGCTATCACATTACTACTACATGTGCCCAGCTACTATATTAGGTACACCTGCATACCTTGCAAATTTATTTGGCATATCTGTGGCTGGCTGTTTTCTGTGGCTGGCTAAATGCATGATCCCTCTGTGTGCCTATTAAAATGGTTGATCACAGTTTTTTTTTTTTTTCAGGTTTTGTAGCCTTTACCACTAAAATTTTAGTAGGAAGCCACATACCAAGTCCAGTACTAGCAGCAATCCCACTGCAGTTTGGACTTGACTAGTCCAAATACACATGAACCACTGTTCATCTTTAATGGTAATAATGACTCATAACTTCTTAAAGTTTGCTTTAATAGGCTCTCAACATGGAATTAGAAAGAAATATCAGGTTTTGTAGTCCTGTTTCCTGGTTATTACACAGAAACTACCAAATGTTTTTATAGGTTATAGGTCACACCATTCACATATTAGTTACAATGTTACCTTCAAAATAATTCCAGGGTTATATTATAATAATAGTGTAATATGTTAAAGCATCAACCAATATTACCTTATTATTACAAAAATACTACCACAAAGCAGTATAGAAAAATTCTCTATTGTTAGCAAAATATAACTATACTATTGCTAACTGGTTTTGCCCCATACTCATGTTTTTTTCCCCACAATATTAGTTCCTATTTTGGTACAATTATTACCCAGTTACATGAATTTCAATGTAATATTACACAGCTATACCTGTGTGTCAATGGTAGTTGGCTACTACATGGGTATTAATTTGGTAATTGAGTGGTATTAATGTGCTATTTCCATATTATTGCTTTCTTATTTCGACCTTAATTTACCACCTTATTTCTGAGTCATAATTTAAAGCCCTATCACTGAAATATCGACTTATAATATAAACTGCTCCATCATGTTTTGCTGCTTGGTTATTTCATTCATAGATGGATCAGAACTATACTAACATTCACATCAGTTGGGCTATACATTGACATTGTCGTGTTGACTGCAAACTCATGAGGATAAAATGAAGATAAAATAGTCTTTAACAGTCAGATATTGCATTGGTCTCTAATTAAAAGAATGCAACATTCCTGGTTCAAACTTGTGTAGCAATCTGTAACCTCAGTTGAACCATTTTGTTTATAATAGAGAGAAGTAGCAGTGGAGATAAAGTTGCTGAGAGTTCTGCAATCCTATGAGCTAGCTGTCTCTCTGGATCAATTGCTAAAGTGTGGTATTAGCACCTAGTAGTCGTACAGGTAGTGCAGGGGTCTTTTGTCCTTATAGTGCGGCTCCGCGTGGTTTGGGAAAATAAATTAGAAGTATTTAGCTGAAGTGTATTTTATTTCTGTTAGTTATTTTTTTAACTTGTAGTTCTAAATTGGAAGATTGTTGTGACATTGTAATATAAAAATAAAATGGTATTTTATTATTTTTTCATCGCTCAAAATAAGCGTCACACTCGCGGAAGCCGGTGTACCCGCCGAAACGCCGTGCATTTATCGAGACTTTCAACCCCAGGTAGGCCAGTTATGGATCTTCGGGTCCACATTGTCAGCAGCTATTCTCCACCGTGAGAATGTTAAAAACAAACACCGCTCACGCCTCACAGATGGCAGCTTACAGTCCTGCGTAAAGATGAAAGTACAGCCCCATTGTAAACATATCACGGCAGACCCGACGATGTTTCCATGAACATGCTTTTCAGCATCTCTTTATTGACCAATTTTCACACACTGTTGCTGTATGCATACAGCCGGCTGTAGCTTTTCAGCTCACAGCCCGACATATACCAACAACAGCATAGATAGCACAGACGTTAAGGTGGCGAGTTGTGATTGTGGGTGCTGCTCTGGTGCGTCCGCCTCCCCTGCAGCAGTGCTGCAGACCGCACCCGGCCACACACATTAACCAGGTAAAATACATATTTAGGCAGGATTTTGCAAATATTTATTTTTCATTTTTTAGCAGCATAGTGCTTTTTTTCCAATTATTTTTTAAAAGTCAGGTCAAGGCTCCAAAAGCCCAAAGGCGATATAAGGGTGGCGGCTCACAACAGTTTTTGTTTGCTACATGGATCATTTTAGTTCAGCTGGGTGTCTTTCCTTTTGTTAGATTTCTTTAAGAGTTCAAAATGTCTTAATTACATAAATAAAATGTAATTTTCTCTGTAGCACTTCATGGATTTCATAAGCAACACACCTTAGTTGTTTCACACAAAGCATTAAAGTAAAAAACAATATATACAGTATTATCTTAATTTTAGATGTCAAAAAGTATTTGCGGCTCCCAGTGTTTCTGTTTTGTGTGGAAACAGGGTCCAAATGGCTCTTTGGGTCTTAACGGTTGCTGACCCCTGAGGTTGTGACACCATCAGTTGCTATGACCTGCCATTAGAGGTCAAGCCACAAGCTCCTGTAACTCTTTAAGGGTGATGTTTAGATGTTTGAGATGATGCCATAACTTGTGGTGGCATTTGTGATTGATGACTGTTTAGGGTACATTCCAAAGTGGTGCTGTCACAACTTTCTGCTGCATTTCGAAGCAATGCCATGATGCAGCCTTTTGTACCATGAACTGCTACAGATGTTTAGTGATGATACTATGAGTTGCCATGGCTGTTTGGGAGTGTTTGAGGCTGAAGTCATGATTTAATGAGTTTTCAGTGTCACTCTGTCTCTGTTAAAACAGAGACAAAGTTTCAGTTTTCAGTAGACTTAAACTGTTCGCCTCTCTTCCGAATACTTCTGAAATATTTGCGGGATGTTTTATGCAAAGTTTTCATATTATATATCCTTAAAAACAGAAGTGAAATTAGCGCTAACAAAAAAACATGCAAAAAGGAAAAAAAGAGTGTAGAGCCACTGTGACGTTGCACACCGCCATCTTCATGTATCTTATCTTACACTCTTGCTCTGCTTTTAGATTGTTTTAAATTTTCATTTATTTAATCAAATAATTAATTAATCTAATGATTTATTCTCTTCAGTTTATTTTTATCTTCTTATTATGACACGTTATTTATTTGGCTTGTCAATCACCTGTGAAACACTTTGACCTGGACTTAACTGCGTGACAGGTTCTAAACACAGATAAGATTATAGCAGCTAAGGTAAACATGACAAACATACATTAAAAAATAGCTTAAATAGGTGGAATGGCGTGCTGCTCAGTAAAATAAAATACAATATGAACAGACTTTTTTAAGTTTTAAGTAAAAACAAAACTGAATTTAATACAAAAAAGTAAAATTAGTTTAAATCAATTTGAACAAAAACAAAGTGATAATATGAACAAATAAAACATAAGCATAGGAAAACTCAATTTAAAAGAGTTTACTAAATGTAGTAAGACTAGACTATTTTAACGACTCAAGAGCTCAGTAGCATAAGATTTAGGCTTCTGTTAATGATATGATATGCTATGATATGACATGATGGGTTACTTTTCAACAAATGACTATCAATAAAATGTCCTTTGCAGTGGTGGAAACACTACAGTAATATGTGTGAATGTACCTTAAGCACAGTGCAGGGCTCAGTGTGTGTGTACATGATAATTCCTTGGCTCTGCAGTGTTCTGATCCTCAGGCTCAGTTTCAACTCTGTTTGCAGCTGGCCAGAGAGTCTGTACTTGATGTAGCTGTTACCTGAGAAACTCAAAGATGAATGTCCTGCACCAAAAATAACAACAACAAATGTTAGACATTACTCTAGAGTTACATTACAGTTAGTTTTTACTTGTTGTTCTTGCATTTTTTATTTTCATGCTGACTTTGGATTGTTTCTCTTTTGCTGACATATGTACCTGCACACTCTCCAAGTTTGCCTTGTGGACACTGGCATGCATAACGCCCTCTATTGGCCTCTATTGAAACACACTGCATGTCTGGTGGACAGGGTTGGTCCTCGCATTGTTCTGACAGGACAGAACAGCTGTCATCTGTCATACATACACACATGCACACAAAACACAGGGACAGAAAGTAAGAAACTATTGAGAAACTATCCCAATGAAACTCACAGTAAGAAACAATAGAAGAAACAAAGACAGCAAGGGGAGTTTAGCAAGTACCCAACTCACTCCACTTAACCTAAGCTGCAGTGCAACTGGATAAAATTACTTTAATTTACTTTACCAGTCACAAAGTGCTATACACAAAAAAGGTATCTTACATGTAGTCTAAGGCAAGACTGCAAAGAAAAACAATTCTGATTTACCATTGCATGTACAGCGTGAGGTCCGGTGAAAGCGAGGTGAGACAAAGCTGACCCGTGGGTTACTATATGTAGCGAGATTGTGTGAATCCAAGACAATGCTCTGTTCGCACTGAGCCCCACGACAGTCTAATCCAGAACAGTTCTTATCCAGGATAGCTGACACTCTAAGCACTTCCTCCAGGTTTCGCCGTGATGCACTTAGTTTTTGGGTGAGGTAGGCTGCCTTATAGTATCCACCACCTGCTTTTTCCATGGTGATGAGCATATCCAGCTGTTGCGTCCCTCCAACTGGCTGCAAACTTAGCAAATGCAGTGAGTCCTGCTGTTGAGTAGCAGCACACTGCTGGAGCACATTTAACATGCTTTTCAAGTACAACGCCACAAAGTCTTGTGGTGCCACTCTCTCAAAACGCACTGTCACTGCTTCACGCAACATGTCTGGTGTTGCCTGCTCCACATGCACACTTACGGGTACAGGAACAGCAAAGCGGCCATCACTGACACTAGCATTAAGAAAGTACCTGCCTGCATCCAAACCACCCAGGGCTATGATCTTTCCATCATGAGGACTAATCTTAAAGAGACTACGTTGAGCTGAAGGAGCGTGACCAAAAGTCAAAACATCATAAGGGTCAGCATCGGTGGCATGTAGCTGACCAATCACACCACCAGGAAATTCATCCTCCATAGTAACAATATGAATGTCCAGTGGTACTGCTACTGGTCGATGGAGGCTCTCCTCAATCACCCTGATTGTGAGTATGGAGGAGGATGACAAAGGAGGCTTCCCCGAATCTGTCACCTGCAGGAAAAGTCAGATCAGAAGTCAGAAGTAGAAAAACAACCAATGAAAAATATTAAAAGTATAAACTAGATTAAAAGATATTTGAAATATGCAACCTTTCTTTTACTTTAGCTTTTTTAAATGAGGATATTTCAAAAATATATTTTTTGACATTTCTACCTTTTTAACAATAGCAGTAGACATATAGACAAAAGACAGAAAAGGCTATCAAAATAATTCACCACTAGAATGTACCTCAGCCAACAGGCTCTAACATTTTAAATACCATTTCGACAAACATGAATATATACCATTTTAATTGCTGCTTTAATTTTTTTTTTTTAGCAAGGTACAACATTTTTTTAAACTGAAGAATGTAGAACTTGCTGAGCAGCAGGCATTGTGGCCAAATTGTGACACAGCAATGGTAGATACATGCTTCGCTAAAGTTTGCTGAACTTAAAACCAGTGTTGGGCAAGTTACTTTGAAAAAGTAATTAATTACAGTTACTAGTTACTTCTTCAAAAAAAGTAACTGAGTTACAATATTCTAAAAGTAATTAATTACTTGAAAATAACTATTGCATTACTTTAAATAAAATGTTTAACCCTCTGGGGTCCAGGGTATAATTGCCCATTTTTAACTGCTTTTGATTTTCCCTCTACATTTCACCTTTAAAAGCTTTGCCTTGTTTGGTATCATCCTTTTCAGCACGACCTAACGTGTCTGAATTTACAGTTATGTTTTCATTTTGACATGCTGTACTAACACAATTGATCTAAAATCAGACAAAAAACATAAAATCCGAGTAGAAAAAGTTATATATATTTTTTTCTCATATTTTTATTGAGAGACAAGTGTACAGTGGTTTACAATGACAATACAATCTGTTCCCCTCACATATTTTTTAGTTTTTCTTACATGAACAGATACGATAACACACACACACAGGCACACCCACACACACGCTTAAATAAACAAACAAAACAAAACCTAATAAGAAACCCAAAACAAACACAAACAACAAACCCCAAAA